CCCTCATTATGCTGATCCTCTGTTAAAATTAATACCTTTTTTTCTTTTGAGATGGAGTTTCACTCTTGTTGCCCAGGCTGGAGTGCAATGGCACTATCTCAACTCACCGCAACCTCCGCCTGCTGGGTTCAAGTGATTCTCCTGCCTCAGCCTCCTGAGTAACTAGGATGACAGCCATGTGCCACCATGCCCAGCTAATTTTGTGTTTTTGGTAGAGATGGAGTTTCTCCGCGTTGGTCAGGCTGGTCTCGAACTCCTGACCTCAGGTGATCCGCCTGCCTTCGCCTCCCAAAGTGCTGGGATTACAGGTGTGAGCCACTGTGCCTGGCCTGGCTGATTTTTGTATTTTTAGTAGAGACAGGGTTTCTCCGCGTTGGTCAGGCTGGTCTCGAACTCCTGACCTCAGGCGATCTGCTCGCCTTGGCCTCTCAAAAGGTGTGAGCCATTGCGCCTGGCCAAAATTAATACTTTTTATATTAAATGGACATATATGTATTTTTTTCTTTTTGATACCAGGTCTCACGCTGTCACCCAGGCTGGAGTGCAGTGGCACAGCCTCTGCTCACCGCAGCCTCTACCTGCCAGGCTCAAGCAATTCTCCTGCCTCAGCCTCCCACGTTGCTGGGATTACAGGTAACTGCCACCACACAGCTAATTTTTGTGTTTTTTGTAGAGATGGGATTTCGCCATGTTTCCCAAACTGGTCTCAAACTCCTGAGCTCAAGGCAATCCACCCACCTTGGCCTGCCAAAGTGCTGAGATTACAGGTGTGATCCACCTTGCTCATTCTAGTTTAAACTTTTGAGTTGTTTGTGTCTCCTGATTGGACTCCTACAAATACAGAATTGATGCTAGGAAGGGTACCAGGAGATAGACCCACACAGATAGGATTTGGGAATAGGTTTGGTTATCCAAGGAGCAGTGCTGAACTCCTTCCTAATGGGATATAGGATGCTGGTGATTTCCAGGAAGTGAACTCACAATAACTCAAGCTACCACTTACTGTTGATTGTGGTGAAATGCCAGGTGAAGCGTATGCCCTGCGAGCTTAGGGGTGCTACAGTTGACCACTGCCACAGTAAAGATGACTCTGAAGAATGGCATGGGATGGATCCTTTCGAATGCACTTGAGCAGCGGTCTCTAACCACAGGGCCATAGAACCGGAGGTGAGCAGCAGGCAAGTGAGGGGAAACTTCATCTGTATTTCTAGCCCCCCCCCATCACTTGTATGACCACCTGAGCTCCATGTCCTGTCAGAGGAGCAGCAGCATTCGGTTCTCTTAGAAGCACGAACCCTGTTGTGAAGTGTGCATGCGAGGGATCTAGGTTGTGCACTCCTTATGAGAATCTAATGCCTGATGTTCTATCACTGTCTCCCATCACCCTAGATGGACAGTGTCGTTGCAGGAAAACAAGCTCAGAGATCCCACTGAGTCTACATTATAGTGAGTTTTAGAATTATTTCATTATATATTACAATGTAGTAATAATAGAAATAAAGTGCACAGTATATGTAATGCATTTGAATCATCCTGAAATTATTCCCTCCACTCCCAGTCTGTGGAAAAATTGTCTTCCACACATTCCCTCTGTTTTTTGGTAGAGGCAGGGTCTTAATATATTGCTCAGGCTGATCTCAAATTCCTGGCCTCAAGTAATATACCTCTTGGCCTCCCAAAGTGCTGAGATTACAGCCATAAGCCACCACCCTCAACCAAGACTTGTTTCTTAAACCAAATAAAAATTAAGTGAGATTACTTGAGCCCAGGTGGTCGAGGCTGCAGCGAGCCCTGGTTGCACCACTGCACTCCAGCCTAGGTGTCAGAAAATAAAAAATAAAATAAAAATAATGTCTCAAAAAATAAAATAAAATACAAATTAACCCTTTATGACATTCCCAGTAACTTTCCCTCCTAAATGTTCCCCACAAGTCTTTGAATTTTGTTTAATTTTCACACACATACCATTTAAGACGTTTAAGAACTTCTGTCTCTCTGTGTCATCCCTTTATTTCAAAAGAATGTCTTTTTGTCACTTCCAGCTGGATCTACCATGAAAGACTTCTGAATCCAGGAAGAGAGACTGACTGGGCAACTTGTTATTCAGGTACAAAAAGACTTGGACTGTAACTCAAAAATGATCAAATA